GGAGTTTGAGGCTACGGTGAGTTATGACTGCACCACTATACTCCAGCCTGGGTGACAAAGCAAAACCCTCTCTCTAAAAATAAAATAAATAAAATTCAAAATTAAAATAATTAATCAATTATTAGACCACAAAAATTTCTATGTAGAAATTATAGAACCTTTTTGGAAGACTTTTTTATAACCCATATCAAAAGGTTTAAGAAAACAGGCCAGGTGCGGTGGCTCACACCTGTAATCCCAGCACTTTGGGAAGCTGAGGCGGGTGGATCACTTGAGGTCAGGACTTAGAGACCAGCCTGGCCAACATGGTGAAACCCCATCTCTATTAAAAATATAAAAACTAGCCAGGCATGGTGGTATGCACCTGTAGTGCCAGCTACACAGGCGGCTAAGGCAGGAGAATCACTTGAACCCAGGAGGCAGAGGTTACAGTGAGCCAAGACTGCACCACTGCACTCCAGCCTGGGCCACAGAGCAAGACTGTCTCAAAAAAAAAAAAAAGTCTAAGAAACTGCATTTAATCCAGCAATTCCCATTTTATAAAAATTTATCCAGAATAAATCATTAAGAAAAAAACACAAAAATTTAACTACAGTATGCTTATTGAAGCAGCGTTTATAATAGTGAAAAATGGAAGCAACATAAATATCCAACAGGGAAAGGAAGGATGTGATCAATAAATTATGGAATATTCTATAACCATTAAATAATGTAGAATAATATTTGACAAAATAGAGAAATAGGCTATATTGTTAAGTGAAAAACCAGAACACAGAATACTACTGTTCTATCACATTGGATATCTATATACATAGCAAAAAGACTAGAAGGACAGTCACACATCAAAATGATAATAATAATAGTCTGTAGATAATGGAATAATGGTTGATTTTTATGTACCTTTTTGTCTTTATTTTCTACACTGAACAAGTATTACCTTTGTAATAAAAAATAACCAGAAAAATTTAAAGCTAAGAAAAATCCAGCCAAGCTTGAAAAAGTTGACTTAGATGACTTTGAACTGTGTGTTTCATTTTTAAATATATTTATCTGACTAACTTTGCTTCCCTATTCAATAGGGTGACACATCCGGAGACTACAGGAAAGTACTGCTTGTTCTCTGTGGAGGAGATGATTAAAATAAAAATCCCAGAAGGATAGGAGGATCCTCAACACTCTGAATTTTTTTAACTTCATTTTTCTACACTGCTATTATCATTATCTCAGAATGCTTATTTCCAATTAAAACGCCTACAGCTGCCTCCTAGGATATAGACTCTGTATTATTATTCACCTATAATTAGTCATTGCGATGCTTTAAAGCTGTACTTGCATTTCAAAGCTCAATTTATAAGACATAAATGGAGATTTAAAATTAGAAATAAAAATGTATTCCATGTTTTTAAAAGATTACTTTCTACTTTGTGTTTCACAGACATTAAATATATTAAATTATTCCGTATTTTCTTTTCAGTGAAAAATTTTTTAAATGGAAGACTGTTCTAAAATCACCTTTTTCCGTAATCCAATTTTTAGAGTGGCTAGTAATTCTTCATCTGAAATTGTGAGCATCCATTTAGTAAGAATGCCCATCCAGTTTTCTGTATTTCATAGTCAAAGACTTGAAAGCATCTACAAATCTGCTTTTTTTAGGTTTTACCCGTAGCATTAGTTGATCTTTACTCTGTTTTTTCATGGGAGACTTCCTTCATCACATCTTATTGAAATCACTTTCTGTAGTCAAAATATACCATAACTGGCCAGGCGCAGTGGTTCACGCCTATAATCCCAGCACTTTGGGAAGCCGAGGCAGATGGATCGCGAGGTCAGGAGATCGAGACCATCCTGGCCAACATGGTGAAATCCCATCTCTACTAAAAATATAAAAATTAGCTGGGCATGGTGGCACACGCCTGTAATCTCAGCTACCTGGGAGGCTGGGGCAGGAGAATCACTTGAACCTGGGAGGCAGAGGCTGCAGTGAGCCAAGATCACGCCACTGCACTCCAGCCTGGGTGACAGAGTGACACTCTGTCTCAAAAAAAAAAAAAAAAGTATACCAAAACCAATTTATCTGAACAAACTAAATTCTAAAGTATGGTTATACAAATCACATACATCTGGGTACCAAACATAAATGCCAAACATTCTGTATTCTATATTATTACGGTTAATGTCTTAAGCCAGCTTGCAAGTGGATGGGGGGAAAAGAAAGCTTCAAAGTAGGTATTCTGGAAATGATGTAATGCTCTGAATTAAGTTTGATGTAAAGAAAGCTTTTTGTGCTAAAAAAATACTTTTTAATTTTTTTAAATTTTATTGATTGTACTAATTTCTATTTGCACTGTGCCTTTCAACTCTAGAAGCATTCTGAAGATGTACTTGGATTTAATTAAAAAGTTCACTTTGTATGAATGTGGAAAAATAATTTTAATTATAAAATGGTGTCTTTAGGCTGGGGGCAGTGGCTCAAGCCAGTAATCCTAGTAAGGTATTGATCAACTTACCACCTATGCAACTTACGGCCATTCGACTTTACGACCACAATCGCTAGCCACGACTGCTCCACGTCTGGCAGCACAAACGTTGCCCAGTTGGGAGTATGACAGTGCAGACCAGCTTCCGGCAGCACTACCATCTCCACGTGCACCATTTCAACTGTACATATGGCCTACTCAACTTACGACCAAATCATGTTATGACCGGTCCACAGTCCCGACCGTGGTAGTAAGTCGAGCACTAGCTGTACTTTGGGAGGTCAAGGCAGGTGGATTACCTGAGTTCAGGAGTTCAAGACCAGCCTGACCAACATGGAGAAACTCCATCTCTACTAAAAACACAAAAACTATCTGGACATGGTGGCAGGCACCTGTAATCCCAGCTACGTAGGGGGCTGAGTCAAGGAGGACTGCTTGAACCCAGGAGATGGGAGGCATGCCACTGCACTCCAGCCTGGGTGACAGAGTGAGAGTCCGTCTCAAAAAAAAAAAAAAAAAAAAAAATTTGTCTTTAAAACGAAGTATAGTGTTTCTCTCATCCATTTTTCCCCTTCGGAGGTTTTTCATCCTGGCCCCTGAAAGGAGCTAATTTTGAAGGACTTGTGTTACTCAGTTTCTACAGGAATTACAACATGAGAAAAAAGATCACATATTTAGTCTTAAGTGTGCCTACTGGCTAATGTTCACATATGCCAAACACTATTCAATTACATAAAATAATGTATGAACTTATTCTCTGGAAATGAGTGATGCTCTCTACTCTAAGTAGACCATTTATATCAAATATCATAATGTATAAATACATTTATATGCTTATAGTAAGACTACTTGCCTTCTTTGTTCATTTTATAACATCCATTGTATTTTAGTGGGTCAAATAATAAGAATTTATTTTTTAGTTTAGTGTTAGTTATCTATTATAAAAGCTACAGGTACTGGTAGAAGCCACTTATGTGAATATTTAGTCACTCCAGTTACTTACAGGAAATCATACTGTCACTTCAATGTCTTCCCAGAAGACCACAGAATCTCCAAATCAGCTTTATTTTGTCGTTGGAAGCATGGTGAATTTTTTGGTAGAAGTTTTATCTTTAAATGATATGTAGCTTAGCCAACACTTTAAAACAAATAGCATTTATTCACCAGAAGATTTCTAGAAGGTCATCCTGGAGGAATGTTTGTCATCTTGAACCAGCATAACTTTGAGATATTATGAAGTAACTTTGTTTCCCCTCTCACTGTCCACTGACATTTATGCAGTGGGCCTAATTCTTCCCGTCTTTAGATGTAAATTCAGAGAGAGAATAGAGTCATGACTTTTCTGTATACTCTTAGGTTTTACAAGTCCTACTATGTAGTTCCTCAAGGTCATAAAACAGTGTCATTTTAGTAAGTAATAAATCCAGTCAAAATTCCAATCTTGATTTACGGTTCAGGCTTCTTCCCTAATTCAGGTCTGGCCTACTGCCAGTAGGATGCTGGTTTCTGGGGAGAGGGAGACTGTGGGCTTCTCCTTTTTCCACCTAGGTTTCCTTCCATAATCTGCCCCTGCCCCAACCTACCATGTCTGGGTTGTAGCAGAGAAGAGTTAAGGGGAGCAGAAAAGTTGTTACCTGACTGTCATTGCTGTGGTGGTAGAGGATCAGCCCTGTGTGGCCCTGACAGACTAAAGTTGATTTTGTGGGCATTCTTGTGGGTTCCTTTCTCAACCTCATCATGCTACTCACCTGCAGTTCCTTTGGAAAGGCAAATATATTTCTCTTTTTTCAGCCTCTAGGAATTTGGTGACTCTTTGAGGTTCTCAGTGCTGAAGTTCACTGCCTTCCTTCCAGGCCTATTGGGCAAGATCTGAGATGATCCCATCCCTGCTAGCTCATGGTGGTCCACATCTACTTCGTGGGAAACACCTGCACGTTCTTCTTGCTGGCAAATTCTGCATATGCAAGCTGATCACTAGGGCCGCCTGAAGGCTCTCTGAGTTCGACAGACATGGGGCCAGACCCTATTCGGACATCCCACCGGTGCTAGAGAGGAAAGCAGTGCCGGGAACGTTCTCATAACTTAACGGGTTCCTTTCACGTCTACTCCAGGGGAGGGCTCACGCTAAGGAAGCGCAAGCATCCAGCATAGCGCCTCATCCTACGGCCCCTCTCACTGGAGGCCACGCCCAATCAAGCAGAGCGCGGCCCTAGCAAGTGCTGAGCTTCCGCAGGAGACCAAATAGCTCGGGGGTTTCGCCACTTCCTTAGCACAGGCCCATAAACACCTGGAACTCAAGGCACCTTTGTAGAACGCATGAGTGACTGAGTCGCGTCCCAAGTCTTGCCAACACAAAGGGGTATGTGAACTACGGCTTAACATTAGGTCTACGCCGAAGCTTGGGTTAGTACGAGGCCAGACCCACGGCAAGCCTGAAGTCCTCACAGGCGCGCCCAGTTGTGCGCAGGCTCCACCTGCCACGCCCGCCCGCTTTGCCCCGCCCCTTCCGGAGGCTCGCCGCGCGCATGCGCCTTCCTGCCCGCGCTTTGTTGCGAAAGTGAGGGGGCGAGCTCCCGCGGTGCGGGCGTGCAGCGCGGCTAGACGCTGCGGGCAGGGCGGAGGATGCAGGCGGTAGCGTCCGCTGCAACGGTTGGGGCTGCGCGTGAGAACGTGGCGGTATAGGCACCTGCACTCTGGGAAGGCTGGCGGCGGCAGCAGCGGCGGCGGCGGCGGCGGCGGCGGCCGGGCCATGGCGGGAGACCCCCTTCTCTGGGCTCCCTGAAGTCCCGGGGAGCCGTGACCCATGGGATCGTTGAGCAGCCGGGTGCTGCGCCAGCCGAGGCGAACCCTTGCCGAGCAGGAGCAGGGTGCCAGAGTGGGGGGCTCGGCCCGGAGGCCGGACACTGGAGACGATGCTGCGGGCCACGGCTTCTGTTACTGCCCGGGTAGCCACAAGCGCAAGCGGAGCAGCGGGGCCTTCTGCCACTGTCACCCAGACTCGGAGACGGACGAGGAGGAGGAGGGGGACGAGCAGCAGCGGCTCCTCAACACCCCTCGAAGGTACGTGGGGTCGCGGACCCGCACCCGAACCTGTTGGGTCTGGGGCCGAGCCGGCGCCCCGTGCGCTTGTGGGGTGCAGCGCTCCTCAGTCTGTGAAGAGGGGTTGTGCCCTTGACAGGGTGAATGTGAAAGCCGGCCCGAGGCCGGGCGGACGGGGAAGCGCCTTGGGAGATGCCTGGTGTTCTGCATTTCCAACCACAGACGCTTCTCGGGTGTTGTTGCAACCCCAAGATGAGGATGAGAAACGCCAAGCCCGAGCTCGCGTCTCGTTAAACCTTAGAGACGCCCAGCTGGCTGGCCTTCCCAGTCCACCTTTGCTCTCTCAAGTGGGTAGGCGCAGAGTAAGTTGTTTTGCATCCGGTTGCCTTAGTACAGACACTAAACGTAATCTCTGAAAAGGGCACCCTTATTGTCGCCCACTCAGTGGAGGGGAAATAATTGCACCCAGGAGTTCTCCTTAATTGTAAAGGTGAAGTTTATCAATAGTGTACATTTGTTCCTAACTAGGAACAAAGTCTTTGCAAGTTTCTAAGTAGTTTAAGTCGTTGATCGTGGATGCTGCAGCAGCTTGCTTAACCTTTTTATTTGGTGGTTGAGGGGGGAAGTGGGGATGAGTTGAAAGATAGAATATTGACTTGTTACCTGGAATGTAATTTATAAGTAGAATATATACTCACACAAACAATGTGAAAGCCGGCCCGAGGCCGGCTTTCTGGTTCTGCTTTTGTTTTCAAAGGTCATTTGGTAGGGTCACAGATGAAATTTTTTAAATGATTTTTCTTTTTTTGTTTTTGAAACAGTCTTGCTCTGCCACCCAGGCCGGAGTGCAGTGGTGTGATCTCAGCTCATTGCAACCTCCACCTCCTGGTTCAAGAGATTCTTGAGCCTCAGCCTCCTGAGTAGGAGGCTTCAGTGAGCTGAAGTAGGACTTCAGGGAGCTGGGACTACAGGTGCATACCACCACGCTTTTGTATTTTTAGTAGAGACAGGTTTTACCATGTTTGCCAAGCTTGTCTCAAACTCCCAACCGTAGGTGATTCTCCAGCATCAGCCTCCCAAAGTGCTGGAATTACAATTGTGAGCCACTGTGCACCTGGCCTAAAATTAAACTTTAAAAGCACATTCAAAAAATTTTTGCTATGCAAGTGTTACATATTGTAAAAAAGGAATCATAGGTTAAAAACTTAATAGTTGGGTTTATGAAACCTTTTGTACCGTTTTTTTGTATGAATGTTTGTAATTACTTACAAAAATGGACCCCTATTGTGAATACTATTCAGCAACTTCTTATATTGGCCAGGCTGGTCTCAGACTCCTGGGCAGAAGCTATCCTCCCATCTCTGGCCCTGTAACATTTTTGAAGAGTCAATGTAGCATAGGCTTTTTTTCTTTTGAAAAATTTTTCCCTTGTTTAAGACAGGGCCTCACTCTGTCACCCAGGCTGGAATGCATTGGCAGAATCATGGCTCACTGCACTTTGACCTTTCCGGTTTTGGCCATTCTCCCACCTCAGCCTCCTGTGTAGCTGAGACCACAGGCATGCACTACCACGCCCAGCCTAATTTTTTTTTATCTGTAGAAACAGGGTCTCACTTTGTTGTCCCAGCTGGCCTCAAACTCCTGGGCTCAAGTGGTCCTCCTGCCTTGACCTCCCAAAGTGTTGAGATTGCAGGCGTGAGCCACCGTGCCCAGCCTGTAGCATAGTTTTAAGAGTTCAAATTCTGAGTTATTGACTGAGTGCAGTGGCTCATGCCTATAATCCCAGCACTTTGGGGGGCTGAGGCAGACAGATCACCAGAGGTCAGGAGTTCAAAACCACCCTGGCCAAACCCTGTCTCTACTAAAAATACAAAAATTAACTGGGCATGGTGGTGGGTGCCTATAATCCCAGCTGCTCCGAAGTCTGAGGCAGGAGAATCGCTTGAACCTGGGAGGCGAGGTTGCAGTGAGCTGAGATCACACTGCACTCCAGTCTGGGTGACAAAGCAAGACTGTATCAAAAAATAATTCTGACTTCTTGTCGGTATTCTGCACTTAATAGCCTTATTTTCCTCATATGTAAATTGGACCTGCAAATACCTGCCTTTTAGGGTTTGACAAATATGATAACAAACAAATGCACAATGACTAGCATGTACGCACGCAGTAAATATGTCTCCTTGGTGAATTGGACCCTTTAACATAACAAAATGTTCATCCTTCTTTATCCCTAGTAATTTAGCCACTACCACATTTATTTATTTATTTATTTATTTATTTATTTATTTTTAGGGGGTACAAGTTCAGGTTTCTTACATGCATATAATGAGTAGTGATGAAGTCTGGGATTGTATCGTATCCATCACCCATCTCCCACTTTCTTTTGATAAATGTATGAATGATATCTCATTTTCCTTCCTTTCACCTTTTACCTGTGTATATTTAAAATAGATATCATGTAAACAGCATATAGTTGAGTCCTGCCTTTTTTATCCAACAGGATAATCTAACCCTCAATTAGTAGTTAGGCCACTTATATTTAATGTAATTATTGAAATATAAGGTCACAGTGCATTTGAAGGAGAAAAATCACACAGCAATTTGAATAGGGAAAATTTAATATAAACATTATTAACAAGACACAGAGAATTAACTACTGAGGACAAAACACTAAAATAAAGAGATCCCTAGAAAATACATGGATTAGTCACTACTTCCAAGCCTGAGGCAGAATAGCCACAGAAGGAACAAATTTGGAATAGGTGCCCCCAGCTCTTTCCCAAACTAAGATTCAGATGGCGTTGGAGGAGCCGTGGCTATAGCTCACTGGATGGTGGAAAAGTTTGCTCAGGTGTGGTAGGCTGAGGCTGGCAATCAGGAAACTGCCCACTAGGATGCCAGGAAAATTGCTTGGAGGCTTTCTGGCCCAGAAAGCTGAAGATATTTACTGTCTAGAACTTTACAGAAAAAGTGTACCAGCTCATGAACTACATGAGTGGACTGGAATGGAAAAATTTTAAAGCAAACCTTTATCAGAAAATGCATATCAGAATTTAGTGTGTGTATATTACTGGAATATGCTTGGATTATTCAACCCAGTATGGATGTAGGGTATAAGAAAATATTAAGATGGGCCAGGCACAGTGGCTCACGCCTGAAATCTCAGCACTTTGGGAAGCCGAGGCAAGTGGATCACTTTAGGCCAGAAGTTTTGGACTAGCCTGGCCAACACAGTGAAATCTCGTCTCTACCAAAAAATACAAAAATTAACCTTGGTGGTGCACAGCTGTAGTCCCAGCTACTCAGGAGACTGAGGCAGGAGAATCACTTGAACCTATGAGGTGGAGGATGCAGTGAGCCAAGATTGCACCACTGCACTCCAGCCTGGGCGACAGAGTAAGACCCTGTCTTAAAAACTAAATAAAAAAAAGTTTAAAAAAGAAAATATTAAGATGTTGAATTTTGTGTGTTGGCCCTGGTATATGCTTCATGAGGTTGTCTTGTGTGTTCTCCCATCTCAACAGACTACCTCATGAAGTTTTAGCTTTTAGGTCCAACTTCCACCTTATACCTTTGTCAACTGTATGCTTTACCTTTACATTTACAGGACTGTTAAAACTCACACTGTTCTACAACCAGATCTTGAGTGTTTTGTCCATAGCTTGTCTCTAAAATATCAAAACAACATTCCATAGTTATAACTATGTATATATGGTTTCTGAAGAGTTAAGTAGTGTGCTATGATTATAAATCATACTTGATGGGTCCAATGCCACAACCCCTTGTCTGTTCAAAGAAAGAAATTTTCTAACCTCACAGTTACATGGAATCTTTTCTTACATTTCATTAAATGCTTAAAGTTAGGCCCTGCTTTTATTTGTGTCTTATTTGGACAGTGCCTTTTTTGTATTACTTTTTTATTGACAGAATAACAATATTCTCTCATCATAGTTTCAGGTTTTTCTGAAAAAACACAGAAAAATATTTTGAAACACATTTTCATGGAATCCTTCTCAAAACCTTAGACCTCCTCCATCCTCCTGTCCCAGTCTGGATTTGTCTGTTCTTATCCTGGGGCTTAACTTTCACTCCATCTCTAGGATTGAATCCATTATTTTGTGTAGCCTGTATTTCTTTCTTACTCATTTTAAGAACTATTTAATACATCCACAAGTATTTTTCCAAGGAAGGGTACAAAAGGGGGTAATTTGTGCATATCTAGGTATAAATTTAGTGTCTTTTACTTTATTCATCTGACTGGGTATGGAAATCTAATGTAACTATCTTCATATCTTTGATGACACTGCTTCATTGTCTTCAGGCCTACAGTCTTGATGAAGAATTTGATCCTGGTCTAATTCTCCTTTCAGGTGACCATTTTTGCTCTCTGGGACTTGTGGAACTTTTCCTTTGGTATTTTGGGATTTAACTGGAATGTGGTTAAGTGTGGGTTTTTTAATGGCCTTGGTACTTGTTGGCTCCTTATAATTTGGAGACTCGTATACTACCTTAGTTTTGGGAACATTTTTTAATTAATTTCTTCCATAATTTCCTTTTGCTTGTTACCTTTATTTTCTCTTTCTGGGATGCCTCTTAACTGAATTTTGGATTTCTTGGATTATGCCTCTGTCTCTTTTTTCTTTTCTTTGTCTTTTTGCTTTATGTTCTGGGAAATTTTCTTTAACTTTTTCATCAACCATTCTTCAGTTTGTTTGTTTAAATTTCAGCAACCATGTCTTTATTGTCTAAAAGCTCTTTCTTGTTCTGAGTAATCCTTTATCATAGCATCCTATGAGGTAAATATAATAATCTCAGATCTTTAGGTATACTGGTGAGAGGGTTTTGTTTTTTTTTTTTCCTCTCTTTTTTCCCTGAATTATATGCTCTGGGGGTGAAGGGAGTGTCTCTCTCTCTGTCTCTCTCTCTCTCTCCCTCTCTCTCTCTCTCATACTCTTATTCTTCCTCATGTTAGATAATCCTTTCTTGCTTGTCCACTTATATTTAAGAATGAGTAACTGGTGCTGGTGTATCGTGTTTTAATTGAGTAAATAGATCTATTTCCACTGTACCTCTTCTTTGAGTAAGAAGACTACTAAGTTGATTATAGGTGGGGCATGCTTTGTTGTAGAGCAGAGGTTCCCAAGCTTTCTTGGATCACAGCACTTTTCATGTTTTAGTAATTTTCACCCATGGTCCAAAAGAAATACTTCATAGTTAGGGCCAAACAACCTAATGATAGCAGATTGCATGGTATCTGAAAGATGTTACCGTGTTTCCTTCATATTTAAAATATTCCACATGCCTCTCTGAGTTGGCTGTGGTACTCTAAATTCAGATGGTATCCTGAACTGGTGAATTTCACATACAGTTTGGGAACCATGACTTAGAGTGAATGGATTGGGAGTAAACAGCCCACACAGATTCTTTAAATTTCAGAATGAAGATTGCTTTGTCTGGGCTCCAGCAGCTGTACTACAGCCTTAGGTCTTCCGTTAGCTTTGTGCTGTTTCTTTCTAGAAAAGCCTTGGAATCTTTTTGCCTTGTATCTGTACTCTCCATATCTATACTCTGTGTTCATAGAATGGGGGAAGCCATTAGGGGAGTAAGTTTCCTCATTTTCTGCCCCTCTTCTTACCTCGGCCTTTGTTTCCCTGAGAACTTATCCTTCTTTTCTCCCAAGGGTTTTTGTTTTTTTTTTGAGATGGAGTCTTGCTCTGTCGCCCAGGCTGGAGTACAGTGGTACAATAGCTCCCTGTAACCTCCGCCTCCTGGATTCAACTGATTCTCCTGCCTCAGCCCCCTGAGTAGCTGGGACCACAGGCACCCACCACCGCGCCTGGCTAATTTTTGTATTTTTGGTAGAGACAGGTTTCGCCATGTTGGCCAGGCTGGTCTCGAATGCCTGACCTTGTGATCCGCTCACCTCTGCCTCCCAAAGTACTGGTATTACAGATGTGAGCCACCACGCCCGGCATATCTCCCAAGGGTTCTAATGGGCAGATATGCTTAGCCTCCATCCTAGCCCTCCATAATGTATTTTTGGCTGTGGCTTTCACTGTTCTTTTTCATTTCAATTTATTTTCTAACTTTCAGATCTGTAGAAGTCTCTCATCAAATGATAAGCCTACCCTCATCTTTCTACTGGTGTGGACTTACTCCTTTTTGTACTCTTAATCTTTAATGTAATTTGGGAAGGGATGGGAAGCCAACATGTGCACATTCTGCTATCGGGAACTAGAAACTACATTGTCTCTTGATTTCTCATCATAACCAATGAAGTGGATACTGTTAATGTCCTCTTTTTATAGCTGTGGCAACTGAGCAGAGGCACAGCTAGGACTCAAACCCAAGTTTGTTACCACTAAGGCTTGTGCTGTTTTTATTGTTGGCTAGGAAGAGGTGTTAAGTACCCAGGTGTTAAATTCACCAGTTTAGGATGTCATCTGAAACAATTCATTTTTAAAAAGAGATTGAAGGTTTTGTGTACTAGGAAAGCTGTCAGAATTGGTTAGGAATTTAAGATACTGATCAGCCACTGCCTAGGACCTTTTCTTAGTTACTAGATTATTTTGAGCAGTGATTTTCAAACTTTATTTTTTCAGTCAAGTCTTCCTTTAAATTAAATCTGCGCAGAAGTCCAGCGTGTTTATAGATATAATAGGTGATGCTGCTGTAGTTGAAGTTAGGTGAGATGCTCACAGTTCACTCCTCAGCTCTCCTTGGTGGCCCCTAAGACTTCTTCTTTGAGCAATTTTTAAAACCTTTCATCTAAAATAAATAAATAAATACATAGTAGAATGATATAAGGTTGCAAACCATTTGTCCAGTGGGAGGAAAACATGTTAAGTAGTTTAAAAATAGTTTGGTACCAAAATAAGATTAAATGTAAATTATTTTAAAGTTACTTGGGTAGGTGAAATGTTTACTCTTGTTCTTCATTTTCTAGTTGCAGATTATTGCAGTATTTGAGATCCTTCATAGTGCTGGTTTCTAAATAAGGAAATAAGCAAAAAATCAACATGCTGACTTCTTAATCTATTAAATAGGTAATTAAATTAGTCTAAAATTGGTAAAACATGTGTAGTGAAAAGTTTCCCTCCCACGCTGCCCCATTTCTCCACTATCTCTCTCGTGAATAGAGTACCCCAGAGATAACCACTGTTGTTAGTTTCATATTCTCTTCCAGACACAAGAAAATTTGAATAGGTACTATCCCCCATCCTTTTACACAATAGATAAGTTGACTCTATTTAATAGAAATTGAACAAAAAAAGTATTTAGAAATATAAGCAAAATCAGTAAAACATTAACTTTTATATGTGACTTTTCATTTCTTTTAACAGGAAAAAATTAAAGAGTACATCCAAATATATTTATCAAACATTATTTCTGAATGGTGAAAACAGTGACATTAAGATTTGTGCTCTAGGAGAAGAATGGAGCTTACACAAAATATATTTATGTCAAGTAAGTATATTCCTATTTGAGTAACAGTGTAGTCACTTAAACTCTTAAGTCATGTTCTTTCTCATTGCACTTCACAGTCATCTTTTGCGTGGACACCGTAGTGGTTAAATCCTCATTTGATAAAACGTCTGTAAGAAAAATGGCAAAAATTGTTAGTGAAAACTTAGTTTGGTCTAGAAAGAGATTTTGAGGTTTCCGTATCATACTAGCCTGATATTATATATTTGTCATTACTTCATAAGGTGCTTATTTTGGTGCCTTCTGTTGATAAAAGGGGAAAAGTTAGGAAGAAAATGTTTAACATTAAAGTTAAGATTGAATGTGTTTATTTTGCCTGTGGTTATTTAAATTGGATAAACTCATCTGAAATGTTACTTTGTATTTCACATTGAGTGTCAATGGAAAGTTCTCTCCTGGAATATCCAGGTAAAGACAAGACCAAAAAGTATATAGACTAAGTAGATTTCTGTTCTGAAAATATTACTATCCCTCATCCCACCTTAAAAATTCAGAACTTTCATAGCCAGGAGTGGTGGTGGGCACCTGTAATCCCAACTCCTCAGAAGGCTGAGGCAGAAAAATCACATTAACCTGGGAGGCGGAGGTTGCAGTGAGCTGAGATCGCACCACTGCACTCCAGCCTGGGCGACAGAGCGAGACTCTGTCTCAAAAAAAAAAAAAAAGAAAAAGAAAAAATCAGAGCTTTCAAAATAGAATATGATGTTGCTCTAATGGCTCAAATATTTTATTCATTTGTTCTTTCATCAAATCTATAAGCTGGGTATTATTCTAGGCACTTGGAATAAAATAACAGTTTTTATCCTTTGGAACTTGTATTTTTCCTCTTTACCATTTGAGAATAATTACTGATAAGACAATATAGTATAAAATCTTTCAGTAAAAGTATTTGAAAAGGAATTGATTTCTATAACATTTTAATCGTGTTTTAAAATGTATTTTTGAACAAATTTATTTTGGCTTGCAGTATGTTGCCCAGATAATATATCAGAATATTGCTGTTAACTTCAAGATGAGATTCATATAGTTTCTTTTTAAGCTCTGAAAGCAGTTTTGTAGACTTGAGGGTGAGAATGCCTCTGTTAAAACTTTACCTCTCATGGAAGCTGTATTAATTATAGTTCAAGCCATGTGCTAAAATATAAGCCCCCTGAGGACAGAAACAATTTCGATTTTGTTTTTTTCTATATTCACAGTGCCTTCTGTATACTAAGTACTCAGTAACATTTTTTGTTTGTTTTGTTTTGTTTTGTTTTCTGAGCCCATGGCCCGGCCCATGCTGCTGTCAGGCTCAGGGCGGGGTCAGAGGGTCAGCATTTTTAAATAAGTTAATACTTGATCCATTTCAAAGTAATTCTAGTATGAGGAGTGCTATCTGGCAGATAACTAAAGATTTCATTCTTTACCATTCCAAGAATTCAGGTCCATTCTGGAAATTTCTCATTAGATTAAACTAAATTTTGGATTTTCCCTAATTTCTTTGGGGAGCATCCTGTTTTTACTGACTTGGGACTAGTCTGGTCTCTTATAGCTACTGAAGTGCACAGTAAGTTTGAGTAAAAAGCTAACCAGGTTCAAACAGAAATACAAGAATTCAATTTAGATAGTAATATAAGAATTTGCATTAGTTTTTGTTAAAATAGTACTAAACCGAAAGTATATTTTGATATACCTAATAGTGTCCTTATCTTAATTTCTTTTCTCCTCTAGACATATTTGGCAGTTCTTTTTCTGTTTAAGTAATAGAATGGATGAGTTTAATTAATGGGTAGAATAGTTTGCTTGGAATTAGAAATGGGAAAATAATTTGGAAGACAAAGTACTTGATAATCATTGACTTTTTTTTTTTCTTTTTTTAAGTCTGGCTACTTTTCTAGTATGTTCAGTGGTTCTTGGAAAGAATCCAGCATGAATATTATTGAACTAGAGATTCCTGACCAGAACATTGATATAGAAGGTAACCACCAAAATAATTACTATTATGCAACAATCATAAAAACATAAGCTTATTCTTTTGGTATTTGAAAATAAATAATTCCTTCTAGCCTTGTAGTCTAGAAAACTTTTATCACCTCAAGATGATAATTTTATGTTGATTTATTCCATAATTTATTAGTTCAGTCTGTCCTATCACTAATCTGTCTTGTCAAGTGGGCCTTATCAGTCTGTTTACTTATCTTTGTAAATATGCCCACCTGGAATATGGAAGATGTAGGATAAAGGAAGGAAAAGTATGACCATTTTTTAAAATTACATAGAAAATCTGGTAAATAATACTGATTATTCCCTGTGTATGAAGATGTTTTCTGGGAACAATAAAGGTATAAATCATTTAATGTTGTTTTAGAGCTAAAAGAATCCTTAGTTGAAGAAGCTGAGGCCCAGAGGAGTTAAGGGACTTATTTTGGACCTCAGAGCAGTTTAGTGAGCCGACATCAGACTACAGCTCTCCTCATTCCTATTCCAGTGCTCTTGCTGCTCCCCTCATTGGTGGTCCACATGGAAGTACCGGGTGCTCAATACAAAGGCAAAGAAAGATGTTAGTTAAGAATATTTGCAAAGCAAACCATGTGGAACATTCATAACAGTGGCAGTGGAGGAAGGTTGGACAGGCATAGGTCACTGTGGAGGCTGGGCACGATTGTGGCATGGACAGAACTGAAGAGCTATATCACATTTCCCAGTGGTGAAGCGCAGAAAGCAAGTAGGGTTAAGATTATCTTTACATCTGCATACTTTTACTTAACGATTGGTCTGCTCAGAAGTAAAACTTCCAAGGCATCTGGGTTGTAAAGACTGAACAGATTTATAACCTTGTTACTAAATTAACAGTGTCAGCCAGTAACCATCACTAGCATTTTAATTAGAGATATTTTTGTTATCCTTTTGCGTACATGCCACATTTAGACAAATGTCTTTGTGTGTAAAGACAGTCGTCGCTGTTATTTGTATGATACTTTTAATAGATATAAATATTATTTCATTCTACATGTGTACCTTGCTTTCAGCACTGCAGGTTGCATTTGGTTCACTGTATCGAGATGATGTCTTGATAAAGCCCAGTCGAGTTGTTGCCATTTTGGCAGCAGCTTGTATGCTACAGTTGGTAAGTATGTACATTATTCAAAGAAAGGTTCAGAATAATAATCTTTGTCTCAAAGTGTGCACTCCAAAAACAAAAATAAAACAGCTTTTTAGAGTTTTTACATCAAAATGAAACGTATAAATAGGCCATTTGTTATAAATCATTTAAAATGCTTAACCAAAAGCAGTTTATTACAACCGAGGGAGTCATGATGTCTGTATAAAATGAATGGCCATTTTTGTGTAGATATCTTAGTATGACTATAATGTGGAAAAAATTTACTTGTCTAAGGTCATTTACAGATTTCTGCGCATTAATGACAAGCAGATGATTACCAATTAATTCCATGGGTTCAAATAAGCATGGCATGCCTAGTATTTAAATTTTCTCTTAATTTTGAAAGAATTGTGCTAAATCACATATATGTATTTTAATCTGTTAGAATGACAGATTTGTTCATCTAACAGAAGTATATTGAGCAATGTTTCAAACTAGACACAGAAATCCAATGGTAACTTAAGGTATAATCCTTACCTTCAAAAAGTTCACAATATAGTATATGTGTGTAGAGAGGGGAGGGAGGGTTGATATACAAACCCAAAGGTAAAGTAAGAGCTGTTCAATATTATAGACATGATAATAAAGATTCTGTAGGATTTAGTGAATGCATAAAGAAGGGAGTAGTCAGTTCATCCTGGTTGTATCACAGAGGAAAGTTATGTTTTCACATTGAGTCTTGAAAGGTGAAAGTGTGTTTGTATTCCAAAGTAAGGAGAGGAAGGAAGAGCATTTCAGACAGAGAACAGAGTAAACTAAGACCTAGCGATGTGAAACAGTGGAGGATTCAAGACTAACAGGAACATCGCTCCCACATAAACATAAGAAGGATTGGACAAGAGGGAGGCAGAAGCCAGATCATGAAAATACCTCTACACTTTGCTAAGAAGTTTAGCCTACACATAAGTCCCTCTGGAATATTTTAGGGGAAAGACAAAGTTATGTTTTAGAAAGAATGCTTCAGTAACAATGTGAAGGATGAATTGAAGGAAAGATGAGTACAGCCTTAGAGACAAAAACTTATTCCAGTCATCCAAGGAAGGAAAGTAGGGTAGTAGCAATGAGCTTGGAGAGGAAAAAGTGGATACCAGAGATTAAGCAGGGATAATCCACTGGACTTGGTGACAGACTAAATGTTAAGAGAAAATGGGAGGAGTCTAGAATGATTTCCAGGTAAGTTTAAAATCCTAATGGAGTCAATGTTTTATTTTAATCTTAAAGTTTACTTTTATGTGGTATTTTTGTACTGATTTATTTGAAGTATTAGTTAACAGCTTGTTAAATATCCTTGGTTGAGATCATTTGATTTTCAAAACATTTTGAACCTTTCAATACTTATTTCCAATAAGTATACTTTATTTTCTAACTCTGGTCCTTTTGAGTTTGTTCTGAATTCACTTTCTACATTATTTTTACGATTTACTCCCTCAAACTTATTAATATACCTGCATGATGAATATATTTCAGAAATTTGAATGAAAAGTAATATTCTTTCCATATATTAAAGTTAGTTCACTTAAAACTTATATAAACATTTTAGGTTGAAACTTTAATATTAATCATTTAAAATAATAATATACTTGTTTTAGGTGTATCTCTTAGATATTGTAGGTATTTTAAACTTTAATAATCACTTTCTGCTAATTCATACTGTTTGTTTAGGCCCATCACATGGTTAGCTGACTATGTAGAGTTCAAAAGAAATGGTAAAACAGACAAAATGCTGCTAAAGAAATTTGCAAAGGTCTCAGAGAGGTGAAGAGTAGAAAAGAAAAAGAATAGCATTATTCATCTCTGCCTTACTGCTCCCCCACTTTCCATTTTCAAATTCCAAGTATTTAGTTGAATACTTGCTGAATTTTTTTCACTATTTTTATTGGACTTATAAA